CCTAAGAGCCTGATCCTTACCTAATTAGGCTAGCCTGTCACGTGCTGCGGTCACGTGTACATTAATTAAGTTATTCACGAATATTCATGATTAGCTTAATTAATTCGTGAATAGAATATGATTAATGAGAAAATTTTCATGAATAGATTAGATTAATAGCCATTAATCTAATCTAATCTATTCATTTCTCACACTGATTATCCGACACGGAAAGAGAAAAGTTAGTCAAAAAGCATTCCGGTTCAATTCTGGATCGTCTGTACTAACTGATCCTTGTAGTATTATCTGGCAAGTTTCTACTAGCAGATTCACCCAATGTATTAGCAGCGTGGTGAAGCAAGAGAAGCCGGATGTGAGAGTCGCCGTCATCGACGACGGAGTCAACGCGAATGAAAGTTCTTTGTACGAACGAGTTGCCCATAATGGATGGCCGAGGCAACATCCAACAAGCTCTCAGAGCCCTTGGTATCAGTCATTCTCTGGGCATGGGACGGAGATAGCCAAGCTTATTTGCTCTGTCTGCCCCTTTGTTAAGCTATATATCGCGAAGCTCGACTTTAGTGGCGGCCCCTCCACTTCCGCATTACGCACAGCCAAGTCTGCTGTCGCGGTACTGAAACCCATATCTATTTGTCCATCTGTAATCGCGCATGCTGACACCGTATACAGGCAATTAAATGGGCAGTCAGCCAAGAAGTTCACGTCATCTTAATAAGTTGGCCTATCACAAGCATGCTTAGCAAGAAAGAGATGCAAGAGCTCTCCACGCTTATAAGCGACGTTGGGACAGAGACAATCTTGCTATGCGTCCAGCCAGAGCCATCGGACATCCGTCACGAGCACAAGAGCTTCGTTACTGAGGGTTTACTCTACGTTAGTCCAAGTGGCTCAACGCTGACGGGTAATCGCTTGCGAGATTATTACTTCAAGGGTGAGCCAGCGCCGAAAAAAGGTGGAACTCAAGAAGCAACTGCTCTTGCGGCGGGTGTAGCCGCCCTAATACTCCTCTGCTTTGCTACCGCTCATGACAAAGATGGATTCGAGGAGTTCAAAAAGCCACGGACAATGAGGAAGCTCTTTACTAGCCTCATATTAAAAGACGGATTCGCTGGGTTCACTGGGATGATTGATGACGCTCTCCGAACCCCAGACCCTTTGCAGGCAGTGGTGCAAGACTGTAGGAGCAAGCTGGCGATTGATGAAATTTGTAGCTAGAAATCAGACTTCAGATAGTATCTCGGTTGTGGCGAGCTCCCTCGCGTTAAGGAGCCGAGTGCCTTGTGTAGGCTTTCGGGTTTAGAGGTATTAATAGCCGTTCTCCCTTCCACTGCGCTCTCGCTTGTGGTCGGAAAATGCATATGTCCCATTCAACCAAGTGTCCCGCCGATGAAATGCTAACTATACTCTTGTATCTGCTGTCTCGAATTACGCAAGTACAAACACACCTCTCCTTCCTCACTCTCAACCATACACCGTAATCCATTGGTTTTTGGGGCTTGCAATGCCACAATTTGGCTCTGCTATGTCAACTGGGAATGGAAACTCACACTGCTTTAATGCTTCCGTATTCAAAATCAACCCATCAACCTTTGTTACCTCTTTTACAATCCTCTCCTATTCCTGCTTTACAAATCCATGTGGACACTTGGGGATGAAATTGGCATCAACTTGGCTGGGTAACACGGCATACCTGTACTTCTTGTAAATAATCACACGGAATTCTGATAAATAGATGAATTGGTCCATGGTCACGGGTTATTAAAACGGATTTACACGCGCCTGCTAAGCCTCTTAATAGAATCTGGACTCAACTTAAAACTCCTAAGCTCTGTTACCTGTACTCAGATCACTATTATTATCTATCCTTAGCCTCTACACCTGGTTCGAAGAGAGCTCCCCAAGGGCCTTCCGCTTCCCTAATAGCCCCCTACTGCTTCTTCAAGCCCTCGGTGCATAGATTGGCCCAGCCAAGGCAGAAGGGTGTGCTGCCTGCTCGTCATTCCACGTACGACCGCCCATATGATAGTCCTCATTGAATTTGGCTGGCTTAAGGTGGTTTCGATTAATTGCAATTGCTGTGTGACGCCAGATTGGGATCGTGGCTTGTATGTTCAGCTGCGTATCAAGAGCTGGTTTATTGTGAGATTTCAACGCTTTCAACATCATAAACTTCAAGATGATGCCTCCACAGCCCCAGCTCGAAGTGCCATAACTTATGAATGCGTGAGCTTCAACGCAACGCTCGTAATTAAAAGTCCATATAACGGAGATCCGAGCGAGAAAAAGTAGATGAGGCCTGGCCTGAGTTTTTGCAGTGTAGTTTTCCCTGCTGAGATGGAAGAGTCCGGGCTGACGAACAGACATGAATATCACTGTCTCGAAGTCAGATCTCGAGAAGATTGGAGCAGATTCAATAAAAGTGCCAGGAAAAGAGGACCAGTATATTGCTGAACTTGGGGTATATCATGAACTACATTTTCTCGTAAGTACTTCCTCGAAGGTTAAAGAAATCAATATGGTGTTAATCAAGAATAAAAACTAGTCCGGCAATACACAGGGAAAGATTATCCCGCGAATGCAACCGCCGAAGAGAACAGACTGAACAGACTTCACACCGGTACCATCTCCTCCCAGCTCTGCCACTCATGCCAACAACCAAGATCATTGCATCGACGTCCTTCGCCAAGGAATACTCTGCGGTTCTGATATCTCACTCTTTCCTGTAGAATGGCCATCAGCAGAAGAAATGCCACGAGCAGACTTCTCGCATAAACATACATGTAAAGATTGGCGGCGGATCTTTCAGTAGGCTGGCAAGAGAAGCATACCAGAGGAAACATTGAAGAGCTCGAGGCATCCGTTATATGGTATATCTTCCGGTGAATTGATGAGTCAATGCTAATGAAATAGGTATTGCGTTTCCTGGCGGGAGGGGAAGGAAGTTCGGGGCTAGTGAAGATAAGAGTCCGAAGATACATGAGTGATGCGGGGCCGGGGTATTTGAGAACAAGCAAGGCAAAATGCACTGAGTCAACGTGGAACAATGAACACTTAGTCAAAATCCCAAAATCGTATATCCCCACAGAATGGAGCAACGGATTCTAGCCTCAATCGAAGCTCAGAACACATAGACTCTCAAACCCACACTTTAAGTAGGCCGTAATCTTTCGAGAAAAGTATCAGTTGGTATCAATTTATCCTTACCACCAACGCCAAACCAAGTTCCTTTCCCAATACAATCCTGTATGCTAAAATCCCAGAAGAACCTTCAACACCATGGCCACCAAAAGCACACAGATCGCCGCAATCATCCTATCAATCCATATCGGCACGCCATCATTCGACCTCTGTGCCATCTGCGGCTGTATCCTCTGAGTAATAACTGGCTGTACCCTCGCTGTCGCCGATCCCGTAGGTTGAGTAACACCCTGAGCGGGTCTTGCAGCAGGATAATCACTCGGGCCATCATTCCCCGTTGTACGCACAAAACCCTCCGCAAGTTCCGCCTCCTCTACTTCCTTCGATCTCAATATCTTGATATTTCTTCCCTCGGCGGCTGGGTGCTTAGTTTCCACACTGTTCATCTCATCCTTCCATCCCATCTTCAAGTCACTCGGCACAACGACCTCTTTCTCTTCTCCCTTCTCCTTTACAGCCTCTGCACATTCCTTCATGATATCCACATTGCTTTTCCCACAGCTCGCACATCTCCACAATGAACTAGCTTCCGCCATCCTCTCTCGTTCCTTGACAGGGCATTCCAACCCCCCCAATTGTCCTTTGGCGTCCGTCTCCATGAATGCTCTCAGCGCCACCAATGCTGTCCGAACACCCCAGGCAGGCTGCCACGTCTCTTCATGATGTCCGCTTATTGAAAGGCATATCTCGCGATTGACTTCGAATCGTCCACTCGGTGTCAGGAAGCGGAAGGATGGCGGGCGCAGGGGGTAGGTTGGAGGCAAGACGATTCGGCCGTGGTATATTCCTTTGCCGAACGAGGAGTTGGGAGGCCCGCGGATGGTGAAGTGCCAGTCGAAGAGGTCCGCATCAGAGGCGGGCGCAGCTTGGTAGTCTGCAGATGGGGAGTTGGAGAGTTCGGAGGCTTCGCGGACTGCGGGTGTTAATTGGGAGGAGCTGGGAAGGGTGGAGGGGCTTACGAATTCGTTTTATGGTGGGGGACTTGGAGTTGAATTTGGGGTTTGCCATGACGTTATTGGATCGAGCAGAAGCTCTAGAATATGTGGTAAGAGTGGCAGATCTGAGTATATGCTGTTGCAGAAGATACGTGGTGTTCTGTCGATGACGAAGGTCGAAACAGGTGGCAGCTTCATGACCAGGGTTACATCACGTGATGCTATCTTGTCTTATTGACCTTTTCAAAGAACAGCAGTGTCTTAATAAATTCTACATCCAAACACACGGATATGATACAAAACAAACACTCTAATCTACCCCTTCATCTACCCCATCCCACCCTCTCACATCATCCTTCTGCCTTGCCAAAGTATTCCCCAATAAAGCATTCGTAACAACACCCACTTTCTGAGGCCACCCGTGAGGCTTCCTATCCAGAACCCTCTCATCCTCATCCTCACTACTCTCATAATCATCTCTAGGCCGTAAATTCTCCATAGAAACCGCATCTGTTCGATCAGCGTACTCACTCGTCCTCCCCAATATCCTGTCAGCCTTGGACGTAGACCTTGGATATGCCACATAGTGCCTCGCTGCACCATCTGGTCTCACGGGAGAAGGCTCAGATCCCCATCCTGCAGCATGTTCCCTCCGTCGTTGTTCATCCCTCTCTGAAGCAATTCTCTCCCTTGCAGCCAACCATTTCGGACTTGGCTCCCAACTCCAGCCATCTCCAATTGTATTGCAAACGGGAACGAACCACAGGAGCTTCTTCGGGCCAAATAGGTGCCGCAGATTTCTCCGCCAACCAAGATCAAATGCACTTGGCAACTTTTCTGAGTCCTGCTCGTCAAGATATTCCTCGTACCGAGCCCGAGCCCTGCGTCTCTCCATTTCATCGTAGTTCTCGCGTGTCTCGCCGTCTTTCGGCGGTTCGATGTGCTGATGCTGCATCGCTTTCCTCAACGGAGATAGATATCTTGTCTTCTCAAGGCATTCAATAGTTGTCTGCCCCCGCGAAGCAAGCAGAATATGCCACCCGGTAAAGCCAGCAAGCACAAGCCCAATAATCCCAGATATCACAGCCAGCATAACATAATTGACGGGCATGAGCGACTCCGTGTATTCCCCATCATTCAATATCTCCCTGTAGACCCATATCCCCGAAACCCCGAAGCAGACGAAGCAGAAAACAGTCGTATATATCAGAAACAGGAGGAAGGCTTTGTAGTTCCGCAGACCCACGCAAGTCGCCAGCCAAGGACAATGATGATCCATCTTCAACACGCATGTCCGACACGTTGAGCAATGATGCGCGCGATCTGGTTTCCTCGCCTGGCATTTCTTGCAGTAGCGCAGCTCCCCATTCGATTTGACAGTGAAGTTCGTGGCAACGGGCGCCGCTTGCGTAGGCAGTGAGCTGTATCCATTGTGACTCGTTGTAGTCCCGGGACTCGTAAAAACAGCCGTCGTGTAAGACCAATTTAGCAGGATGTAGAGTGCGATGCCGAGGGAAGAGGACCCTTTTCCTGCAGACTGTTAGCAGAGCCCGCAAAGCCTCGCAGGAGACATACCAATCCAAGGCGTATGCGCAGGTAGGAATCCTATCGTAGCCTCAACCCAGACTGCCCAGCTCGTGATGCTGTAAACAAATACCAGGGGAAAATAAGTGGCTCCAATACAGCAGTAGCGCTCGCATTTCCGTGCCCAGCGTCGAGGCATCCTAGTCGGTGATCGTGAAGGGCTTGGGGAAGCAAGAGTAGCCATTTGGTGTCATAAGGAGAAAAGGGGCATCTTCTGAGGTCGGTGATGGTGATGGTGATGGTGAGGTGGAGGTGGGGATGGTGTTGGAAAGGAGGCTGAGCCCGCTGGCGAAACACGGGAAGTGCCGAGACAAGCCAAGAATAGCTTCAGACGACGACAAAGAATCAAGGACTCTTCTGAAGAGCTTCAACATTCGACAAACCTTTGAGGCGAGGAAGGATGGCAAGTTGTGGAAGACATATGGCGAATACATTGGGGGAAAAAAGGCTTAGAGAATGGAAGTCCCATTCCATTGGAGGCTCTGCATTGGAGGCAGCCCCCTTGAACCCCTTTCTGTGCAGGAAAATCGGGCAGGGCGGAAGGGAAATGGAACGAGGTAAAATGCCTTGGTTACCTCTCTGCACACATCTGGGCGAAGTGTGCAAGATTCCCCTTCCTATCTCATACCATGGACCTCCGTACAAAGCCTCGCGGACCTTATGGAGAGCCTCCCGTTTGAATTGGGTACAGCGTCCATTGTTCTGCAAGCAAACGAGGCTCAAGAAACGAGGACTCAGACCCCGTGGAAATGTTCTTTTTCTCATTCTTCTGCAGTGTACTTCCGGGGCTGCTCCTTAATTGCCTTGTAACGAACCATTCATCAACAATTACCTCGCGCACTATTGCAAGAATCTCGGAAGCAGTCCTTGTACAGGCAGATAGGAGTCATCCCATCGGGATAAAGTATATCCTCCTCTCCGGCCTCGCTTCTTTAGCGCCGAATTTTAAAACATCGTCTTCTCGCGTCTGCCCGTCTTCTTCCTCTTCCTCTTGCCCTTTCGATCTCGACAACACTAACACCTCCCCACCCCTTCCTTGCAGTGTCTGCGGCACCTCTTACCAAGTCAACACGCTTCTTTCTGTTCCTCCAAGCTCGTTCACTTCCTTCCATCGCGTCTGCCGCAACCATGCCTCCCCCTCGTGGTCAGCAAATCCTCGAGGAGGAGCCGACCGTCTGCACGAAATGCGAACTCACCTTCAAGTCCTTTGCGGACTACCATAAACACAAGGTCCACAGCCGCCGCCATATCGCCTGCGAAGTCTGCTCCCAAGATTTTGAGAGTCACGAAGCTTGCAAGCAGCACCACGACCTCGTAAGCGCGCCCGTCCCAGATTCAAACTCGAGCTAACGCGTCACAGATGCACTCCCACGAGCAAGACATGAGCTGTCCCGGATGTAACAAGCACTTTACGCGCCTTGGAGGCTTGATGTCCCATATCGAGCTCGCTGAGTGCAAGTACTTCCAAAGAGAGATTGTCGAGAAGAATCGCAAGATGAAGCAGAATTGGTATTCCAATGCTCAGAATGCCAGAAACTTCCAGGACTACGGAAGAACTGCTGGAGACTTCGACAACAATAGCCCCAGCCCATTCACGGCCCCACAGCCTCACAAGCTGCTTCGTGGCCCTGAGGGCGTGATGCTGGTCACGGCAGATGGTGAACCTGTCCAAGATGAAGCTTCTCAGAGTCAAGCCTTGTCTCGAGGTGCGTTGCTCTCCATCTCCCTGTCTTCTTGATCTAACGTCCGGCACACCGTAGTCACCAGATCCGCTTCCCCCGCGCCCACTTTCCGTGGTGACGATCTCATGGCTTTCGGCGAACTAACTACGATGCCACCGGCCCATCTCTTCACCAAGCCTCCCTCAGTCTTGAAGCAAGAAGACTTCCCCACCTTGACTGTGAAGCTTGGCAGTGTTCCGAATACACCTGGTGTCGAGTTAAAGGCCGAAAATGCATGGGACGCTAAGCAAAATCTTTTTGCAGGTGCTCCTGCTACGATTGCTCCTCCGGTCGAGCTCCTTCGGTCTATGAATGTCAAGAATATTGAGGAAGGAAAAGAGGATCTAATGGATCCCGATAGTAGGAGCTTCAACGCAATGAAGTTCTACATCGATCTCATTGGCAAATTTCGATGTCCTCACAGAGGCTGCGGGTAAGTCACTATCCAAACATCGACCTCTCCTCTAACACCATGCAGCAAGAGTATCAAGCACAAGGGTGCTTTCATTCAACACTTGAAGTCCCCTGCCCACCGCAACGAGAAACTCCAATGCATCAACTGTCTTCGCTACTTCGCCACTGCCACTGCTCTTACTCAGCATTGCGAGTCCCAGGGAGTCCGATGCAAGGTCCGCCAAACAAGCGAATACGATGGGGTTATTGATGGAATCACTGGAGGAACTGCTATCACAGCCGGTCGCCATGTTGACGATACCATCAAATACGCCGTCAACCCGGAGATCCTTCCCACGTTGACTACGGCTAGTGTGGTTGAGGCTCACAGGGCTAGGCTCGACGGGAAGAATAAGAAGCGGCAGCATTTCTGGGACGATAGGACAGCAAGGTGGTGAACGATGTTACGGTGTTGGCCTCCTGGAATTTCGTCTACGCTGCATATGGGCCTTTACGGTGATCACTGGGTATCACTGCTTCAGGACTCGTCCATTCCAAACTACGTGGCCTCGGGACTTGTTTCTTTACTTTTATTTTGTTCCCACCTCGAGGTGGGTACAGTACATGTGCACATAGTTTTTTTCTTTCTTTCGGTGTGGACCCGCGTAAGTTATCAATTGGGCGGAGACGGCCCAGATGGCGGTGCGATGCGACCCAATGTCGGCTTCTTCTTGCGTTGCTGAGGAGCCTGTATAATGATGTGAATATTGCCTTTTCACTTTCCCATTCAAGCTGCTGTGCGGGAATTGTGGTTGGGGCATTACACAATGGAACCCGTGATCTTCGCTCGGCTCTTTCTGTATTCTGGTAGGAGGCCGAACGATAGGAGGGTCTGCTTTCTTTACTTTGCTACCATTTGCACTACGGAAGGCGTCGAGGCGAAGGTCGCGGCTCTGGAGTCACGGTTCGATGATTGTTGACTTCTTTTCTCTTTGCGAAGGACGGCGTTGAGCAAACTGATAGCATATGAGTTGCTCCTGGAGTTGGTCTTGAAGCCACATAATCTTCGATCAGCTCTCTCTTCTGAATCAATGAACCTGAATCAACGAGTTAACCATGTTTTACCGAGTGCCATGTCCTTTTCGTGAATCATTCAGTCTAGCGGCTATGTCTTATAAACTCGCATCTTCCCCAACCCTCTTCCTTTTGCCAGTTCTCAAGAGACCCCATTCATCCGACAAGAGCTCAACATGCCAGAGCAAGACCATCCCAAGATGGCGGTAGCTCACTCTACTGCCTCCCAAGACCCTGCTCACCAAAGCAGCCATGCAAGTGGTCGATTCCGCTGCCGAGTCGACAACGATAACGCTCAAAACAGACCGTCGATCCAAGTCACCCCTGCTTCTCAGTCCGGCCGGAACAACTCCGCTGGCCAAAGAACTGACGCCGGTTACCTTGTTCCACCGTCCCGCCAAGGCCATCGCAGTTCGTTAATAAGAGAAAGCACTACGACCCCAAGACCATCCGAAGCAAACAATCGACAGTCCGTTCGTAGTAAACAACAGGACCACAGTGAACCCTTGCACGGTACTTACTCCTCAACCCGCCACTTCAGGGGATCGAACTCGCAAACGCCAAACCTCTCAGGTCTAGTTCGAAACCGGCAAGAAGGTTACGATGGAAGCTCCGAGCCACCGATCCGTACTATTTCTCTCCTGCCACCAGATGAGGCCCCGCCTCCAAACAGCAGTACCAGAATGAGCGCAGCCGAAGCAGACGCCTTATGCAAGAAACTGACCGCTCGCATCTGGCATGACGATATGAGCAAGATGTACGATAAAGTAGTTAAAGCGGATAAGAGAGGGAATGTGGATGACAGGTTGTATCAACAACTCTTGGATTTCTTCTATTGTTTCCTTCCAATGGTGACCAAGGCTCCGCCCACTGATCCGGTCGTCGTGCGTCAGTTGGATCTTGAGAATCATAGGAAGATTTTGAATTTGTTTGGGGATGGGAGGAGTATCCGAAGAGAAGCGGGGAAGAATGATCCACATAGGTGGTTTTCGAAGCCGAGTGATGGGAGCTTCAAGTCGAGGATGGAGGAGGGAATCAGGGGCTTACATGCTGCTTTGTAAGTTCTCTTTGTGTTATGGCTTAGTGGAAGCGATGCTAACTGTTTGCAGGCGTGGGAAAAAGGGGAGGGGTGAGCATATAGCTCATAAGCCGTGAACATGGGTTTAATGAAATGAGAATGCGTGTCTGGAAGAGAGGTAGGGAAGGGGTGTAAGTATCAGGAGTGACGGCAAGGCTTTATCAAACTTCATAAGTTCATATCCATCACCAAATGTTTCTGACAACCTGCAATGTGCGTTTACAACCGCCAGACTTTTCCCACTTGTGCCATATGCGAGGCCAGTTGGTCTCTTGCTTGTCTCAGCCCGAGTTTGAAGAGATATATAATATATCGATTAACTCCATCCTCAGTCAGCTGTACCTAAGAATTCTCATTATTAGTAACAGCCTCCAGGCCCCACCGAAGTACCTCTATATATTGTTCTCCTCTCCCGCTCGGTGAGAACCCCGGCAATACGTGTCTCACTTGCCTCCCCCATAGGAGTCTTAAAAGACACAGAGAGGCTTGCTGATTCATCCGAAGAAGTCGATTGCACAGGACTTGGTTATGGTCTGGAAGAACCTTCTGCAAACTTTATCGGTCTCGGCGCCTCCACGTCCCTAATTTCCAGCGGCCTTCCGTAGAGTGAGATTAGAGTGTGAATAGCGGGCATGAGACTAGCAGATGGGTGTTTTCTCTGCACCCCAAGCACATTGGGGTATTAAGCCCGGTCAGCGGGTTCGACAGTATGCTCTGGACAGCTGCATGGCACTGCGGATTGCGACTGGTATTTTGGAACAGGTATCTTGAGTGAGATATTGGAGATGATTGGAGAGGAAGATTCCTGTTTAGATAACAATGGCTTAAATTGAGCTGGGGAGAGCTTCCATCACTCTTTGAGCTGCCTGGGCTGTTGTGCTCAATGAAATAGGAAAGAGGGAAAGCTGAATGGAAATGGCAAGGAAAAAGCAAAGAGAGAACTTTGCAAATTATGAGAACCTAAGGGTAGAACAGGACTGCTAGAAGACGGTGTGAATCACTGATTGTGGAACGAAAAGGTTGGAAAATGACTTCGACCTCTGCCTTTGAGAAGCACATATCAAATACTAAGAGAAGAAGTAGGGGTGTCAATCATGATTCAATCGTCATATCTTATCAATCTTCGCTGTACACATAGCAATACGCTCTCCTAGCAGCTGCAATTCAAAAGAGGCAGCTCCCTCCAATCCTTTCTCAGATTTCTCCTGAGCTATCCTTAGGGGTCCTAGATAAATTTCCTCCACAACATTCATCATCCCAGAAGGAACAACGTGAGCATATGTTTCACTCCCAACGAAGAACAAGAAGTTAATAACAGCCATGTGGAATGGAAACGCTTGTCCCAACTCCTGCAGTAGCTCCTCATCGCTTGCATCCGCCAAAGCAGACGTGTCTGGAAATAGATATGGCTGCGCTGCTGCAAGGGCAACGTTAGATGCAAAAACATTCTCCGACTTCCTCTCTTGCGCTGCGATGATTTCCTCCTTCAGCCATGACACCGCGGATGCCTTTAAGGTCTCGTACGGGCAGTTTTCGAGTGTGTCGGATATGAATGTCAACCTCAACCGATCAATGGGATGTGCGTGAAGAATAGAAGAGGTGAAAACGTGCGCGGTGTATCTCAAAGTTGGCGAGGGATTGTTTGCTGAGAGAAGAGACAGTGTTTGCAGATGTTGTAGAAAATCCTCATCCTTCAGAGGCCCCGAAACAAATCGGTTGTTATATTCCAGCCATAACCCAATCGCCAATATAGCATCAACAACTCCAGGCTCTTCTCCGCCGATACTTGTAGGTCCCTCAAGTCCAATGAAATGCTTCACGAGCTTCGCATGATCGGGGAATATTGACAGATTCGGTTGTGGGGATTTTGATTCGAAGAGGATTGACGAGAAGATGAAGGAGCTTATCAAGAACAGCGAGCCTGCTTGCGAAAGAGGTATATCTCCCGGTGAAGAGGGATAATTCTCCTCCGGATCGTATTCGGCTGGGGGGGGATCGGTCTTGTAAATAGCATCGAAGAGGGTTTCGTAACTCGAGAGGCCAAGATCGCGTGCAAGAGCCTGAAATTGTTAGAAACGCCTCTGGTAAAAGGTCGTACTCACCACAAGCTGCCCCACGATAGTATCCCGCGTCTGCAGAGCCGGATCCACTCTATATGATTCCCCCAAGCTCTGCCTTCCAGTCACAATCTTGCTTGGATCGAAAGACTCCTGTAATCTAGCAGCCCATTCCAAAGAGTTGCAGTTGATGTACTCCTCCAGCACATGTGTAACAAATGATTGCAAGAGCTTCGCCTGAATCGCTGCTTCGTGTGGATCCTCCTCCTGTGCTTCTGGATCTGGAGCAGATATACCAGCTTGATTGCCCGTCGATACTGTAGGAATCTTGAAACTTGACTTCCGTCCCGGTAGCGGTGGTCTCTTCTTCCCTGATATTGTATGTACAAACGAAATGACAGAAAGCGTGGCTTGGCCCGATGGGCGGAAGACTGAAAGAATGGCCATGAGGGAACTCGAGAGGAATCTTGAGGGGTATTTCGTCTTGATTCTCGGGTGAAGGATAGAAAGGAGATTGACCAATATGCAGAATCGATCGACGGGTGTTGGCTCGCCGCCTGCTGTCTTCTCTTCCTCCTGCTCCTCCTCCACTTCCTTGGTGTCCGGCTCCAGCAATTGCAACGCCTCTGTGACCTTCAGTACTACCTCCCGCGGGTTTCCAAGTCGAGCAATAGTCGTAAGACATATTTCTGAGCCCGGCAGAGGCATGAGGAGGTGGATCAGATCCCAGCCAATGTTTTGGGTCAACTCCGCATCTTGGAGGATGTCATTCAGAGTTGGCAGGACCGTTGGGGAAATATGGGATTCGAGAATGGTGAGGTATGTCAGGTAGTCTGAAGCAGGCGGTAGACTTTCCGTGATTGCTGTGATAGAATCGGAAGCCATGGTGGTGGAGATGTTGGAGTTGGATGTTGTTTAGAGAAGTTGGTTAACCCCGCCAAATCGGCTGCGCAAGGCTGAGAAAATGGCCCAAAATGGACAATTCAAAATGACCTGATTAGGCGATTTTAGCCTGCGACGCCGCTTTGGATTACTAATCGGCCCATTTTCTTAGTTCCGGAGGACAAAGTTCTTCAAATATTTACAACAAAAGGTCAAACCTCATTCTATCATAAAACAAATGTTTCAAATTGATGCTATTATTCGCTTTCGGTCTTGGTTCTTTTCTCGTGCCTTTAACTCTATCTAAATCTCCTAGTAGTGCTCGCACAACGAGATCACCATTTCAAGAAGCGTGAATTTCTCTACCGAAAGCTAGCGAAAGAAGAAGAGGGGTTGGTTTCTGGTTCTCCCTCTTGGTTTTCCAATCCATTTCGTCAAGTCTTGGTCTCTTGGCAATAATGTCTATAGCTTCGAGTTCGGGCTCAATGGCCGTTGACATTCTTATTCTTGTTCTAACGTTGCTTCTTTCGCTTGCCTTTATCGCGCAGTTTTCGTGGTTTTTCAACTGGCTCAGCTCGGGAGATCATTGAATTGCGCAAGGGGTTGTCTATGCAATCTTCGTGGACCACCATTCCAATGTTGAGCACCCGAACGTAAATCTCCACTGTGTAAATCGTGCTGTAATTTATCCTTGAACGAAGGTCCAGGCAACCCTCTAGGTCGGGGCATTCTCTTCTGACTCTGATCGGATCTATGGAGAGGTTTACCTATATCCCCGTCCCATCGGAGGCGGTATACCAATACTCGTCTAGCGCGTACTTACTGGTATATATTATAGAAAGAAATAGTATTCTTTTAATTTCATAAATACTCTAATTTAAATACAAGAATAAATTTAAAAATAATTTAATAATTTAAATAGATTTTATAATAAATAATAATTATATATATTAGTTTAATTTAATTGAAAAGAAATATATAAATTTTGAATTTCAATAATTTAATATATAATTCTTATATTAATTAAGCTTGTAATTTATTATTATATAAAGTTATTAATTAAATCGAAGTAAGAAATATAATGAAATATTAATTAAATATAAGTATTATAAATACTTAATTTAAATAATAAAGCTTTTATTAATTAATTAAAATTTAATTTAATTTAGATTTTTCTTTAAAATATATTATATATATAAATAATATTAAATATTCGAAGTTATTCCCACTTATATATAAAGAAGAATGCTAAGCCTTATTATAGCCAGAACTCTTACAAACCCATACAGTTGAGCAACCAAGGTTCCGTTACTCGTCACCAACTGACTAGTGCTAGGGACAGTGGTGGTATAGATATTCGGGAAACTAACACCATTCGTAACACCAGTAGATGTTACTACTGCACTACCGCCTAATTCCAGCGTGCTTTGCTGTGGTGTGGACCCCGGTGGGACACCGTTTGTTGATAAGGAAAGCTTAGATACGGGTGTCGTCGGATTTGTAGATTGGGCCGTTGGTGGTAATTGATATGAACTTGAAGAGAGTGAGGAGGGTTCTGAGTTTTCTGGAAGCGATGGCGGCGAGAATGTCTGCCCAACTGGCAGTTGAGGACTGGGGCCACTAGATGGAGCAGGTGGAGGAGGTGATATAGCAGGAGCAGCAGATGAAGTTGAAACATCGCCGTTACTTTCGAAAGAAGTAGAAGTATGCGTCAAGAACTGCGCTGTCCAATGCGGGATAAACGGCGAAGTGACTGCTATCCAACAATCTCTGAGCGGGGCTACGTCTGTATAGAATGGAGCAAAGTCCGCTAATTCAATGACACCCGTAGTTGGCGAGAAGTAAGAGCCTTATATGTCGTTGGTGATGATGAGTGTTCCAGATTCATAGGTGGGGAATGCTATAGGCGGTTGAGAAGGAAAAGTGGTAAAGTGGCCTGTCGATGGCGTGTCTGCGGTGAGACATGTTGTGCTATTAGTAGCCAAGGTACCGTTCCAGGTGTAAGCGTCCACATATACGCAAAATGACGAAGGAAACGCTCTAAGTTTAATTTAGAAAATGATGGAGGCATTGAGACAAAGAGAAGAAAGGGTTGCGCTTACAGCTCGGTTGTCAGGACCTGGCCGAGTGTTGTATAGGTTATTCTCTGTATTACCGTTCCGTCGGAGTTTGTTGGCGGTAAAGTGTAGCCAGCTAGCAGCGCATTGAATATCGTAGTCAACCTCGACGTTTGCAAATTTGTGTTTACTATTGTTACCACAGTCGCTGCGACGATGGTAGTGTTGAAATTTTTTTGCTCCCAACCAAATTTCTCGCCACGAGTCGCAGAAACAGAACAGTTGGAATACTGGCAGGCAGTGGCTGTGGGTCTAGCAAAAGGTGTAATGGCCTGGCCTGGAGGAAGTCAGTGACTAAGTCGAGCTGGTGTTACAATCATTTTGTCCCTTACCCATGGTCGAACAAATGAAAAGAAACAAAGTTACAGCAACTTGAAAACGAAGCATACCTGGTAAGCTTTAAAACGTAGCCGAAGATTTCGTTACTTTGTTAGTGCTATGAAATAGCCCGTTGTTTCGCGCCAATCCTCACCTCACTTTGCGGGCGCGAAGCCACCGTGCACGTGACCCCATCGCCGCTCTACTCACCCTCGCTTCACCTCAACCTTACCCTTCCTCAGCAGCCTTCTCGTACGCACTCAACTACATTACTTCCGCTCACCCCTCTTGCTTGGATTGTGACTGTCTCCGGCCGCACGGCTGTCGAGAGGGTCAACTCTTGGCGAGAAAAATTCAGGGGAGCCAGAATGGGTCCAGTGGCCCGTGATAGGCTCCTGGTACCAAGATGGCCCCCCAAACTTATTATCATGATGTTGTATATCAATGCTATTACAGGGGTGGAGTTGGAATTCTACCTTGTAACGTAATCCTAATTCTCCTCTCTATCGCGATTCTTGCCCTTAAGCCCCCTTTCTCACGCCCGCTCTCGCTGTTTATCTCTATTATCCCTATCTGCTTTTAGTCCTCTGCTTTTTATTATAGGAATTCCGATCTACTAAGCTAGTAATACAAAGAATTTCTTATACTTGGTCTTTAAAAAGATCTTGTTATATATTATAATAAAGATTTTTTGCTTTTAATTAATTACATATATATATTTCTTTTAAGTAACTTTTAAGCTTCTTTATATTAACTTAATTATTAATATATAACTTTACTTTAAATATATAATTACTTTAAATAATATATACTTTATATTTAATTCTTATTCTTACTTATTATATTATATCTTTTATATTAAATTAATTAATTTTTACTTACTTACTTACAATGTCATATTCGAGTTTTAATAATAATATTTCTTTAAATACGATTAAGGTAATAAGTATATAAGATAACGCTATTACGGCGCTTTTACTTAAACCTTCTTACTTACCCGCTAACGTTAGTACACAATATCAAATTGATCCTCGCCTCCTCTCTCAACTAGTTGTAATACTAGTTCAAGATGAAGCGATCTGCTTGTCCCCGAGCCGCAGGCGCACCTCTAGCTCTAACCCACGCCAACCTTGCTCGCCGACGGGGAGTATAGCAATATATCACATACTTGCTTGAATGCGTCTCCAAAGACAAGTATCTTTTAAGTATCTCTATACAGCACCTTACGTACTTCAAATACTATCAAATTCAAACTAGTATACAATATTTTGCTCCATCAAATGCAGTTATTACCACTCCGATATACACCCATATAACCACTCAAAAAAGGCCTAGAAAATTCTACAGCGCTAGTTTCCAGCCCTCGAGAGGGGTGACCCAATCTACTAGCCAGTTCGGTGTCGTACCCTGCACAGTATAGTTTGAGTTGAAGCCTTGGACCTCACTTTGCTTTCCACACACTGTTACCTTCTTGTTAGAATTGGTATTCTCGTTGAACCTTGCCTTGATCCAATTCATCCACTTTATACGACTAGCCTGGATGACAGGGAAATGCTGCATAGCAGCATACGTGACCACCTCCAAACTCTGGTCATGACTTGCTTTGCAGCTCGCACTGACACTCTCTTGGAGAACCCCACCGTCTGTGATGGGAATCACGTCTTCGTCTCCAGCAATTATGAGGAGGGGACCTTGGAATTTCTTCCCAGATACGGCGACAGCGTCTTGCCATTGTTGGACGTAGGTGTTGTTGGTCCATCCTGGGTGAGCAAGCTGAGCAAGAGGAACGTCGGCGAATGCTCTACCACTTGTTGGTGTACAGCCTTGGAGCGGCTTAAGCACCTTATTCCAACGGTCGTATGACAGAGGAGTCATGCCTGAGAAGTTGTAGGCTGGGTAGACAGCTGTGATTGATGCGATGATATTGGGCTGAAGAGTAGCCACGACCGGAGGCCAAACTGGAAGGGAAGTGATTGATGTAGTCGCTAGCAAATTCAAGGCTGAATTCACCAACTCAACGATTCTGGTCGGCGGGGATATGGAAATGGTACCAAGATATCCGGGCACGGGTGATTTTGCTTGACGCTCTGCAAACGCCCAGGCGACATTACCACCCTGAGAATGGCCCATGGTTACGAATGAACCATCTGTCTCCAACTGAGCTGGGAAAGCCTTTCTAACCGCTTCAATAGCATATGCGACGTCATTAGCTCCAGCAGGACCTGCAAGCCAGGCGTGTGATTGTTCTCCGTTCGGTAAAGTCGTGACCCCAAGCCCGGCATAATCCGTTGCAACGACAGCGAACCCCTCCATTGCGATGGAATAGGAAGTCATGAAATGATACTGCAGAGATCGGTAATTGCTCGGAGCACAATCCACGAATTGGCCAGAAGTGCCGTGGGCCCATGCCACCAAAGGGAATTTGGTTGGATTGCTCGCTTTGCTGTTCTTAGTGTATTCGAAAGGAGCATATGGCCAGAGGACAAAAGCAGAAACGGGTACCACGGTTCCGTTGAGGCTCTTGGATGTGTACATAATGCGAGACATCGTTAAACTGGATGGAACAGTGTAGTTGGCGAGATTGGTGTGAGTCTCCACGCGGAGAAGGATGCCTGGTTTCATGGAGGATGTGAAGTTGGTCGGAATGCTGTAAAAGTCGTCCCGTGGGGTATGTGCATGAGAATCATGCTCGAACTCGATGCCGAGTGGTACGAGTTCTTGGCATGTTTCTGTGCAGGTATTGCTTTGTTTTAGAGCTGGAAGGGAGCTTTGAGCGTTGATGCTGGGGAGTAATGATAGCGCAATGCTAGCTAGTGAACTAGATATGATTGAAAGTTTCATCTCGACTAATGATTAGAATGGTTGAAGTGCTCATTCCGAATCATGAACAATTACTTATACAAACAACTGAGCATGCTCAATTTCCTTGATCGCAGTGTTGACGGACTTAGCAACGACAGGGGACGTATCACTTGACGTATGAGTACGGGACCGCCTTATTTTGTTACTTAGCTGGCTGCAAACCCCAATCGCAGCAGCACAACACGGATCTCGGAAATGAACGTGTGACGTCCTATGCAGATGAATAGATATCGGAAATGCCCCTCTCTTCCCCGTTTATTCGTTAGTAATAATACACTTCCAAATAATATCGAAATTTCAAACATATCGATGCAACCCCAGAGGATTGTGGGGTTTGTCGTTGCGGAGCGAAGAATGTGCATTACGCCCCCTGTAAGTCGGCAAACAGGTTCCGAACAAGGCTGAGTGGATGACTGGATGGCTAGACTAACAGACGGGAAACTTAGGAATAGAAGTAATATTCTTCCTGAAAGAATACGGTCTCAAAACACGCTAAAATCGCGGCTCGCTTAGTCCAGCCAATGAGAGAAATCACGTGCACCCGCTCAATTCAAGGCATAACTTGAAGTCTTAATATAGTACTATAAGCTTATAAACTTTAAAGTAATTAAGAATTATATATGAAGAGTAGATAAATAAAAACAAAAGAAGTTTGAGGTGCCCTTAATACAGGCACATGATCGGGGATAAGGCCAGAACGCGGTGTGGGGGGTGGGGGGAAAGGTGCGGTCTCACTTGGGACCGCACCTTGGGACCGTATTTTTTTCGATTTCCTACCCGTTCACGCCCTTTCCACCGCAATTTTGTATGGGCCCCACTACCGCAGAAAGGACATTCACGACAGGAAAATTACGGTCCCAAAATACGCTAAGGGAGCGGAGATAAGGTGGTTGTTTGCCTGGCCAAGGGGGGTTAATGGGCGCGTCTCGCTTAAAGTGCTATACGCGTAAATCCGATTTTTTTTCTCGGCCGCCTACGGCGGCCAATATTTAATAATATTAAGTACAAGCCGCAGTTCAAAATCACTACTAGCTTCTGCTCTTTCAGAATCTAAAGTCCTTTTGTTTTTACGATTACTCCTGCTAAAGTTATGGCTATGCAATAAGGGGGTAAGTTAGAGGGGTGCAGCGCCCGCTCCAGGGCTCGCTTAGCACCCTGAAGCCCCCGCCCTCGCGCGCGAAAGAACAGCACTTTTTGGCCGCCCCCACAGGCCGTTTTGACTGATTTTTGGTTCTAGGATCGTGAAACCGCGTGTGCGCTTTCAGAATCTCAAATTTTTAGGCCCGTACGATAATTTTTGGGGTGGGTGCGGGGCGCGGGGCGGGAGGGGTGATTGCGCGGGCGGCCGGTTTGGCGAGGGCGCAGGGGGTGGGGGGCTAGGGCGGGAAGGGGCTAGCGCGTGTAGGGGTGGGACCGTATTTTTTTGAGGGTTCAGGCTTAATTCCAAATACTCTAGCTCGGGCTAAGGAAGTAGGGAAGTCCCGTTGCCGAGAACGAATTCGATGTAAGATTGGGGTAAAGTAAGCACTAGCCTCTAATAGTAGACGTGACTAAGGAAGTACGCCTTGTCGCCGAAGCGAATACGCCCCCTGTAAGTCAATAACCAGGTTCCGAACAAGGCTGAGTGAACGAAAGTAAAATTCGGAATACGTTTACGAGGGCGCAGCGCCACATTGCAGTCGTAATTGTCATAGCATCAGCGCTGGTAGGCTTGGAAAGCAATGGTTAATGGTTAATGGTTATAGATGTATATATGTAGAATAGATTTCATGTTGAGCAGAAACTTTTTGTTTGTATACTTGATCATTTCTGTATCCAATTTAGAGACTCAAACTCACGCTCACGCTCAACCCCCGAAATGGCATCCCTTATTATTCTTGCCGTAGTAATCGCAGTGGCCCACACTTCCAAACACGTTCAAGCAAAATCTAAAAAAGGGGACCAACAGTCTCTCTCGGCGACAGCCAACAAGTCAACCTATGACCTTGGACGAGTCGAATACAATATGAACACAAAGATGTAAGGTACTGTGCGTTAATAGGTAACAACTTTTACTAACTTCACAAGGTATTCAAACTCACCTCATCCGTCGCGATACCCCTTTGATAATGTAGCTTCGGAATCCGAATACTCACCTCCCGCGTATCACCAAATCGCCAATTATCATCCCGCAGAGTTTGAAGTTCTCATGACGGAGAATGTCGCCGCAGTTGGCGACAGTAAGCTCACGCCTACCTCGAAGTGAGATGTTTTGCGGCAGAAAATTGGACACTGGCGGAGCAAATCAAAAATACATGTACAGAGTCTGTGAGTCTGGGAAAGCCAGCTGCAGACTAGAGACTAGACCTCTGCTGGTAAGTGAGAGTCATATCAAAAAGTGCGTGTAGAGAGCTGATATGAATTGTGTAGATTTTTTTGGCCGAGATGACATCCCACTTATGGGGGCAATAGTACTGTTTGCGTAGGTCGAATTTAATTAGAACACACGGTAGACGAAGGTATCCAAGATATTGCACTCAGTTATTCCTCTATCTGCTACTTGATTTTGTAAGGGTGGCCTCTGCGATGACGTCGTGCCTGGAGGGTCTTTGGTCGAAATTCAAATTTGCAAGAATTCTCTCCTCTCTGGAGAATTTTCGTTCCAGGAGTGAAAGTTCAGAGACATTGGCCGTCAATATTTGCAACTCGTCTTTGATAAAGGCCCGAGCGATACCAGAGTCATCGGGTTTAATGACCTTTTTGGTGATCAGCTCTATCTCGTCGCCTATTGCCGTTAGTCTTTTGTCAAGTCTGTCAAATTGCTGTATCCTCTCTGAGCGGGTCAAATCTGTTTCATCTATCAATTGCCGCAGTTGGACAGTCGATATCTGCGCGTTCTCGCTACAGTTACAGTCAGTGCGACAATATGGCTTCGATTCGGAATTTCACTTACCTGGAGATGCGGCAGAGATGCATGACTATCTCTGTCTGACAATCACGTATTCGGCTTTTGAGACTTTCAATATCTTCCTTCTTCCAGGTCTCGTACAGTGCCATTTCAAAACTCTTCCACCATCTTGCTTTTATGCCATCTTTGACCTGCAGCTTACGAGTAATGCCCAGGAGCTTTTTGCAGTATTCTTGTCATTCCTCTACGAGTTCTGCTAACGCAACGGAGTACCTCGACGATTGAAAGACGGCTTCATCCGCATTGTAGCTATGAGGCCTTCCTTGCAACAGCGTCTTTCTTGAAGTCTAGAAGCCTCGCATGTATCCCCTCAACAGGCTGTTCTTCGCTGGACGGACTGGGTCCTGAGAGATGGATTCTTTGGGCGTTGGTTAGGAGTCCGAAGGCGAATTGAACAAACTGCAGAATATTAGCAGCAAGGCCTAGAGCCGATAAAAGATCTATATCGTGAACTTGAATAAAACGAGAATATGGAGATGATGCTATGGCAGCTCGTTGCCCCGAGAAGCTGGCAGATATCTGGGGTATCTTCCAGTTTCCTTGGTGGTTCCCCTGGCTCCAACGATTGATGTATGTAACATCAAGACGCAGCCTTGGGCATCTAGGCTCCGCCTTGGGCATATCGGTGAGCGGAGTGGGCGACGAAGCTCCTTAGCAATCCTTGCGCCATCATTTAATTTTAGCTGGAATAGCAGTAAGTGTAGCCGAGGGGTCGGAATAGCCCCCACTCGCTCTGGTCTAGGCTCACACCCAGGCTCACTCGTTCTCACCTGTTGTCCACCCTCGCGTCCACCCCACTCACCTTAGCTCACCCAGCAATGCCGATAAACCAGCCGTGCTCACCTTTCCAAACGGAAACAGATTTTCTTTCATGTCAGGATTGGCGTGTGATATTCACTTGTTATTTTCATGGTGACTTTCAGCAACTTGAAAGGGAACATGAACAAATATAGCTCGCCTCAACACTAAGTTCTCCTGGCACTGTACCTGTCAGCCTTGCACGATTACTGTTGGAGAAACACCTCGATGGGAAGTGCCGTTGGGGCTTGTTGGAGGTGGAGAAAGAAGGAAAGTCGCATCACAAACAACTCCTAATTAGGCAATTAAAACCGAGTCACAGCAGGAAGCGAGTGTGCAGTGTGGAAGCCTTGCATTTTCCCTCCGAAACCTAGGGGGCGGATAATTATATATAATCCCTACCCTATTAAGATATACGTATAAATAATGCTCTTGAGCCCAATATGCGATATATTATATGGGTCCAATGGAGGTTTTGATTTGGACCAATCACAGGGCTAGAAATTAATGCACGTGATATACACTTCTCCCACTTTACAGAACCATCCTTCCTGCATATTAGTAAAATCACTACCAAAATCACCTCCATTAACACCACCATCAATACCACTATCAATACCACTATGCCGCCTGCAACTAATGCTAATGGTGCTCACGGCGATACGCTTACTACTACTCAATTTACCTTTATTTATCCTACCCCCGGATATGGGCTTCTGACAAAAAAGGGCCAATGCAAGTACTATACGGCCGCTCCCAAGGCTTGGAATATTACTACGAATCAGGCCCCTTATTTGAAGATTTGCGAAGGTTAGAAGAAGTACCGAGAGGATAATCATATTGATTTGGTATTGAAAAAGAGAAAACAGCCTTCTGTGGCTAGTCATTTTTTGATTAAGGAGTCTACTATAGAGGAGCTATTTGCGCTTACTATTTATATCTCTACTTTCAGTTTCTCTCAATTCGAAACCCCCGAATAGAGAGCCTTCTACCTGAAAGTAGGCTTTAAAGCTCCGAATCGCAAGACCCTTGCTAGGCCCCTCCTTTCCTCCTGCTATAATAAAATCAAAGCCAAAGTATAGCTTATTACAGATACGGTATCTCATATTCAAATTATTACTAATAGTTCTTCGAATATTAGTAAGGTATATATCGAAAATATATTATTTCTAGTAAATAGTATATTATATTATTAGAATTTAATTAGAATTAGTACTATAAAGGCAGGAGTAGCTTAGATAATTAAGAATATAATTAAGAATATAAAGGAGATTATAAGAGATTATCTTAATTAATAGACTGCTTTCTCCTCTAATACTTATAATATATAAAGAAAAGTATAATCTAATCTTATTAAGTAACTAGAAGCTTCTTATATTATTTCTATACCGTATAATTCTTACAGAATTCAACTAATTTTTAAAGATATTCTCTTTCTAGATAAAGACCTCTTCTAAAACCAAATTATTACTATAACCGGTACCTTCTTTAATAGCTTCTCTAATAAGATTATTACCGTATTCTCGAAATTAGATAAGTAATTAGTATATTTACGAGAAGCTATAAAGAAGTATAGAGAAATTATTACCTTAATTATAATTATTCTAATATACTAGAATATACAAGTATATTAAATTACCTCTATTAATAAGTTATTTAAAGCTTTAAAAATATATACCAAACTTCCAGATAATAATTCTCGAGAACCAGTAGTAATTAAGTCTATATTTTATTATAATAATAATAATTAGTAGAAGAATAAAGCCCTGGAACGGCTTCTTAAGTCTATTTATATATACTAAAAGATATCCAAATTAAATTACTTAATACTTAGAAAGATATATCCTTATTAGATAGTAATTAATACTCACTTTAAATATACCGGATATAAAATAATAGACTATAATAGGAGCAGGTTAATAATTACTATATATATATTAGTAAAAGTAAATAGATTATATAAATAAATATATAATTCTAACCTATTTACCTAGTAGTATATATACTTCTTCTAGAGAACTATAGTATTATTCTTATAGACTCGTTTATTATATAAGTTAATAGATTTATATTAGAAAAGCTTAGAAATAAGGGCTTCTATAAATTCTTCTAATATAAGAAAAAGCAAGGGAATTTCCATTCTTTAAACCCTTATTAGACTCACTTTTCTGGTTAATTTATACCCTTTTAGGAAATCTCAGTAAGTTACTAATATTCTAATTATCTATATACTAATTATAGTAGATAACCAAGTCTCTAGAATTATTAAAACTAGCCCTTAATCTTTTATATATAACTACTAATTCAGTTGCTTCCGAACGAGCCTTTACTACTATAAACTTCCTATAGTCAAAACTGCGAAATCAAATATTAATCGAGACTATAGATAAGCTCTATTTTATATATATTAATTACAGGTCAATATATATAGTAATAAAGGAAATAGATAAAGAAGTAAAGCTTCTGGAAGAATTAATAGCAGATTTATTACTAAATCAGGAGAATGATTTAGTAGAAATCGAGCCTATTAAGGATAATAATAAGGAGGATAGCTGGGAAGATATTAGTACTTTTTTTGACGAGATATTAGTGGGAGGGAGGAATAAAAGTATAACTTCAGTCCTGAAACCATGCCATGTGACCTGTCATTTGCATTAAAAATCATAAATTACATATAAAATTATGCATATAATAATAGCAAGCCCATTAAATATAATCTAATTATGTAAATTTTTTCCAACCCTACCGAAACCGTATGCAGTGCAGCAGTGGCTTCTTCTTACATGCGAGATGCTCAGCTATCAGCCAATGTAACTTAGCATGTGACTCCAGAAGGTGAAGATCGACACGCTAATGGCCAATTCAGTGTCTTGGATCAAGCCAATTCTAGTGGTGTGTCGTGGCAGTGTTGCCATGCGAAGTGCGCCTTCTCCTGCGTCCCGTGTGTCACATTACACATTGCTGGACTAGTTTCAGCCGTGGAGCCTTGCGACCATCAGATCGGTGCGTCAAGATTGAACCTAAATATTTTGCTTCGCTCACTCCAAATTCCCCAGTCCTGCTCTTAGACCAAGAACAATAGACATGGAAACTCTAACAAACAAGGCTCGGAGTGTCAAAAATAATGATCGCCTCCAACAACTCGACCCAAAAGCCGAGTTCACCTTCAACACAACCTCGGTGCCCATAGAAGGAGGCGAAACCCGTACAACTCGTCGCTCAACGCTTGCACATACCGGTTTCCTCCTTTTCCTCGCCGTCTTAACAACGGGAATCTTTGGCCTCACAGCATGGTATGCCAATGCTGCGTTCTCAAGCCAGTTAACAAACAATGCAACAAATACTTTGCATGCGATATTCAATATTGAGGTTGGCTCCGTAATTGCCGTTCTTCGAATCTTACAAGGCCTACTTGCAACATTGACAACGGTAGCTTTATCTAATGCATTTGGACCCATACAATGGGCTCTTATCAGTGATGGTAAAAGCATAAAATGCCCCCAACTCCTTGGGATTTCGCCTGCAACTGGGGCCATGGGAGTACTTGGCTTGTTAGTCGATACCCAGTCAAGAGCTGTTGAGCGCAGTTGGGCATTTCTGAGGTAACTTCCACAAGCTCTGTTCATAATTTAGGGATTCACTGATCATAACAAGGATTTTTATTATCGTTGCCAGTTGGCTTACAGGAATCTTGTTGTTTCGTGAGTGTAAATATATAACAGAGGGGGTAGAAGCTAATGCTGTACTCAGTCAAGACAGAATTAATAATAGAATACGATCCCGTGCATACTTACGAAGTCACAGCCGGAGTTGGTGCTTTTAATGGCTCCTATGTCCACTCGTTTCTGGAGGGCCTTCAGAGCAGTCAACCGGGATATGTGCATACAATTGCGCCGTTCATCTTGATGGCCATGTCTTACAACCTTGTCGGGAATCCAATGCAAGCAACTATTGCCGAGTCTATTAACAAGTCCTGTGGAAGTACAGATAGTCCATGTGACTCGGATCTCTTCACTGGTGGCCTCTCGATGACGACTCCCTGGCCACCAATGGGCTATTCTTCGTACCCTTTAATAAATATCTATAACTTGCCAGCGACTCAAATTGAGTTTACACGGGGTATCAAGAATAGTCACTCCTTCTCAAATAGTGAGTGTGCGGTGTATGGATCTGCTGGGGTTTTAGTTGGAGTTCGATTGTGTGCTTCAGAGAATCTTTAGATATATGGATCATATTTAGCTGGTATGAAATTCCCTTCATTAGCTCGAAGGAAAATACTAAAGTTTCTAGGAATCTACGTATGCACAAATGGCACCAACGGTGGCGAGTGTATTGATTCTGGTTCGTCTCCGAATCTGACCACAACCTTCTCGGTATTCAGTCGCAAAGCTAGTATAGTAACTTCCCGCCTAAACTACACTATCAGGTCAGTCCTTGATGTCGGAGAACCAACTATAAACGGCAATCTTGATCTTCCATCATACCGCCTCGCTATGGGCTGGCTCCTCGATTTCAACGCCTCTGGCATCCCAGCTCCATCTTCCATTGCCGGAGTCTTCTGGACTTCTACAGATCAGCTCAGTAGCAGTTATTGGTCAAACGAGCTTTATAACGTTCTGCAAAGTTTACTTGCCTTCCCCATCTAGCAGTTCAACTCAAACAATTTCGGAAACACCCAGCTTAAGGCAACATAAATAGTTTCCGGCTTACCTCCCGAGTTTTATACGACCGCATCAATTACCAAGCCTTATACGAGGATTGTAATAAATCATTATATGTTCATGACTTTTTTGGTTCTTGAAAGTGCCATGTTGGCTTTGGCTCTGGGCTTCACAAAGACGATTACCTAAAATATCATCATATCCGTTAATTGATTTTGCTTTCAAGTCATCGATACTTTCTGAGATTTATTTGGACGACGTATCAGGAAGGCTGTTTCGGGCAAACGACAAAGAGACACGGTCGATCTTGAAGGATATTTCTGTTTCACTTTGTAAAAAGGAGTAACTCTAGATGGAAATAATAGAATTAAATTGGGAAATAACACTTGCAATAAACCGCTCAACTAATTCAATTACCTGCGTGCCGCAATTATATATGACTATTAAGATTCGATAAACGCCGAGTGCCTGGGCCGTAATGTCTCCATATATATCAAGCTTCATTTTTCAAAGTTACTTTGAATGTTGTAGCATAGCATCTTGCCATGACTCCCAAGCTTGACTCGGTTCTAGAATGCGATTTGTGTAAATTCGCTGCCTTGAAGAGGTGCAGAAAAATATCTTAATAAAGAAAGCATGAATCCTCTTATCCGGTGAAATGTGAGAAAGACCCAGACCAGGTATTAATAAATGCTTCGGGTAGTAAAAAGTAGAGGCTTCGAAAGATTTCCATTATAAGAAAAAAGCATATTAGAATATATATGGCTAGAAAAATAAGTAAAATCAGGTCGACTAGAAATATATTCCTTTATAAATAAAGCTATAATTAAATAGGGAAAGGAAAGTTAGTATTAGATAAATTATATTATATTTAAAAAAAAAGTAATATAATTACGAGAATAAATAAACTAATTATTAAAATCAAATAAATATTTTAAATAAGAGCTTCTTTTAATATAAGAAATTAATGACTTTAAATAAAGTAATAATAGTTATTAAAAAATATATTATTAATATAATATTAAATATTAAAATTTAATATTGATATTATAATTAGAAATATATTTTAATAACTTTACTAATATATTAAAAATAAAACTATAACTATTATTTAAGAAACTAGAAATAAATATATTATTTATTTAATAAATTTAATAACTTGAATAATATTCTAAAAGAATTTTTTATTTTTTAATAAATTACTAGTTTTTTCTCTTTAATTATTATAATATAGCTTTTGCCTTAATTAGCTAATATAATTATTTAATTAGTATTACTTATATTTTGTTATAACTTATTATTATATAATAATATATATAATATATTTACTTTATTAGAAGAATATATTTAAAAAACTAATATATTATAAGATATATATACTTTTTAATAGCTTTTTATAAAAAATCTTTATTTTGGTTTTTAGGCCTTAAATATTATATTTATAATATTAATTAATATATATTAAATTAATTACTTTTTAAAAATATAATTATAAGATTTTTAAGCAAATCTTTAATTAAAAATATAAAAATATTATAAATTATATAATTTAATTAGGCTTAGTATTAATGTAGCTATAGTTATAATTATAATTAATAATTAAAAAACAAATATAAAAATAAAGCGGATTTAAAATATATATATTAATATAAAGCTTTTTTATTAAAATTAAATAATTAATAACTCGATATTAAATAATAAATAAATAAATATTATTAGATTTATAATAGCTTATAATTATATATTATATATTAATTATAATTTTATAATAAATATATATAATAAATTTATTATTAAAAGTTTAAAATTCGCCTAAATATTAGAAACTAAAAATAAGAACTAAAAGTATTTTTTAAATTTAAATTCTTTTATTTTTAATATAATTAATAATAATTTTTTTAATTTAATTTTTAAAAAAAAGAAAAAAAAAGAAAAAAAAAAGAAAAGTAATATAATTAAATAAATATATTAATAAGAAAAGTATTAATAAGTTTTAAACTTTAATTTAATAAATTATTATAAATCTATTTATATTTTCTTAAATTTCTTAAATTATTATTATAAGTATTAAATCTAATTATTTTTTAAAAAAAGAAATATATTATTAAAAAAATTGAAATTTTATAATTAATTTATATTATAAATTAAAAGCTAGGTTTAATATATATATATATATATAAAACTAAGAAAATAAAAATAATAATTTAATATATAAAACAAAAGCTTTAAAATTTAGCTTAAAATTATAGATAATATATAAATATAATTCTTTTAAAAAAGAAATCTTATATATTAGTATTATAAATATAAATAAAATATAAAAAAGTTATAAATATAAAAAGAATTTAAAAAATAAGCTTATAAAAACAAATTATATAAATATAATTAAAAGCTATAATAATTTATAAAATAAAATAAGATTTATTTTAATATAAATAAAAATTATATTAAATAAAAAAGAATTTTATACATAAAATTAAAATAATTTATATAAAATAATAAAAGGATTTATAAATATAAATATATAAATAGTTTTATTTTAAAAAGAAAAAAGTATACTTTTTTATATATAGCTTAAAACTTCTAAAATTAGTTCTTTAGTAAATTATTTATAAATAAAATATAAATAACGGAATTTATATTTAAATAAAATAAGAATAATATTAATTATTTTATTTTATTTAATATATTATATATATATTATTATAATCTTATAAAAAAAGCCTATAAATAAAGTATTTATAAAAGAATTATTTATTAAGAAAACTAAACTAAAAAAAAAGAAATCTTAAACTAAGATTTCTTAAATATTTATAATTCCTTATTTATAGCTCGGCCTAATAAAGCTTCTTTTAGTTTAATTATATATAATTATTATATAATTTCAGATATTAGATACTAGATATTAAATTCAGATATTAAATAATAAATATTAAGCTAGATATAATATTAAATTATAATATTATTTTCTTTTTTAGAAAAAGCTTATTTTTAAATAAATAAATATTATAGAATTATTATTTAAATTATTATAAGTTTCTATTTCGTTTTTCTAGGCTTTTATCTAATTAATTATTATTAATTAGCTAAGTAATAGTTTTATGACTTATAGAAAAAGTATTTTAGATTAGAAGTCAAATACTAATTAAAGTCTTTATTATATTTAATCTAACTAATTTTATATAGAAGTTTATTTTATTTTATTTTTAATATTAGAATATTTTATATTTTATATTTTTGATTTATAATTACTGGAATTAATAATAGTAATTCATTTTTCTAGTTAAATAATAAATTATTAATAATCTTATATAAATAATTAAAAAAGAATATATTATGAATTTTAATATTTTTAGATAGTTTAATCTTATAGAAGTTACTAATTTAATATAATATTTAATAAGACCCGGCTATTTAGTAATCTAGCTTATAATTAGAATATTATATTTTATATTTCTTTATTAATATATATATATATTATTTTCTATTTTAAAGTTTATAAAATAATATTTAATATTAGTATATTTCTTTATTTTCTTTTATATTTATTTTATATTTTCCTTGTTTTTTTTATAGTATTTTCTATTTAATTAATAATTTATTAAGCCTTTATTTTATTTACCTTGTTTTAAAATATAATTATTAGAATTAATTAATTAAAAAAGATTTATAAAAGCTAATTATTAAAGAATTTATATAGAAATATACTATTATAGTTATTATAATATATAATACTAGTAGGAGTTAGACTAGAGCTAATAAGATATCTAGTATCTAAAAAAGGCATCTGGTATCTAAATAAGATATTTATAGTTACCTGATTATTATATATAGTCCCGAGCTTAAGCTAGTATATAGACTTATATATAGCTTGTAATTATTTAGATCCGAAGTTTCTTTAAGATCCTCTTCTTTTTTTAGCTTTAAATTATTAAAATAGAAATAGTCTAATTATATTTTCTAGGCCCTAGATCTTATACTTATAATATAATTCAAAGCTTTCCTATTTCTAAATTCTATAAAGAATTTAAATAATACTTATTTAATTAGTTTTTAATAAATATAGATATAATATACTATAATTACTCCTATACTAGTTAACTAATATTAGAATAAAAGAAAACCCTAGAATAACTAGATAAGAAAGCCCTAAACTAGCTAAATAAATAGATAAGCTAATAATCTTATTATTAAACGAAAATCTATAAGAAAGCAAGTTTCGGAATAACTAAATAAGTTAGAAGAAGCTATAGTATAAGATACTACTAGTATATTACTAGAAGATATACTAGAGCCTTTTATTAAGTTTCCTAAAGAATCCGAATATTTCATTAAATCTTATAATAGAAGAAATATTCTTTTTTAGAGAGCCAAGAAAGAAGAGAAACCTGCCTTATTAAAAACAAACTTCCAAGAATTATTTTAGAGCCTAGAAGCTTTATATAAGGAAATTATTAAGCTAATTCTAAAAATATATAATATTCTTATTTATAGCAAGAATTATTATAATTAGCTAAGAAAAATTAAGCAAGTTCTATAAAATAATAAAGCTATTATTAAGAAGCTTATTATATAGCCTATAGAAATAACTAGTTTCCCTATTCTAGAAAATAAATATTTAATTAAATTCCCTAATTTTCCTATCTTTAAAAATATAACTAAGAATAGTATTACTTTTAATAATTAGTTAGTTTAGATTAAGAATAAGCTCTATAGTAATTCTAATATTTACTAAATAGAGAATTTTAAGATTATTTATATTTCTAGCTATATAGATAACTATATTCTTATATTAATTTTCCTTTATCTAAACCAGGATAATTAATATATATATAAGACTATTAGAGAACTATATACTTATCTAGAAAAGCTATATAATAACCTGAATAAAGAATATAATACTTAATAAGTCTTTAAGAAACTATTTATAAAAAAGAGCTAGACTTTTTAGGAATTTTATATTCTATTTCTAAAATATATAATAAATAGAAATATTAACTTATAGAACTTTAAGAATAACCTAAATAATAAGCTTACCTAAAGCTTTAAGAGATTATAGTTATATATTATAATAATCCGGCTATTTATATTATAAAGTTTATATAATACTATATTATAAATAACTAATAAATCCGAGCTTATTATAAAAAGAAAAACTAGGTATTTAAGAAAGCTAATAAAGATATAGATAAGCTAAGCTTAGAAGGTACTTCTTATATAAAGCCTGCT